TTAACAAATTGAGCGCCAAACTCATTTTGGGTGCTGATAGGTAACGGATTGTGGCGAATTTCCTTTCTTTTTCTTGATAAATATCGAACTTATTCTTATACGTTCCATGGTGGACATGGATAGCTTATTTGTTCATAAGCCTCAAGCGTTATTCACTTCTTGTAGAATTGGCTTTTTGCTCAATGTGAAACCTTTTTTCAGATAGCCTACTCTAGCTTTTTCCTTATTTTTTGTGACAGTCCTGCTATTCAAGAGAACAGAGTGGCCACTGTCCAAGGCTTGTCTGGTACTGGTTCTTTGAGGGTTGGAGCCGAGTTTTTGGCAAAGCATCATCACCAAGTAAAGTGAATGTTATTTTATTCTAATGTTCCTTTCTCATCAAGAATTATTTTATTGGAAGAGAAAACCCTAACTTAATCATGATCCTTGTTCATCCAGCACAAGATATACATTCCAAAGCCAACATGGGGAAATCATCCAAAAGTTTTTACAATGGCAGGGTTGTCTGTGGAATATTATCGCTATTATGATCCAGTAACTCGGGGACTAGATTTCCAAGGTTTACTTTCCGTCATTGTTACTCTTAATAACTTTGTGTTATTAAACGGATGCTAGAAAGTCTCGTTATCTGATAGCAAACAACTTGGCTGTATTGTGTTTGATTAACTTAGATCAAATGGCAATTAAGTTTAACTGCTGTAAGATTCAATGGATCGTATCTTAATGCTGCAAAAATTTTGGTAATAATTGTGGTGAACAGGCTTGCTGGAGGATCTTGGAAATGCACCTTCTGGAGCTATAGTACTACTTCACGCATGTGCACATAACCCAACTGGTGTTGACCCAACCATTGACCAGTGGGAGCAGATCAGGCAGTTGATTAGATCGAAATCATTATTGCCTTTCTTTGACAGTGCTTATCAGGTACTCAGCAAAACGTTCTTAAACGTAATCCAGACACTTTGAATTTGTACGAACACTGCTAACTGGTTACATTAATCT